TTCTTATGCGTCCACCTTATAGTCCGGACCTGGCACCAAGTGATTACTACCTGTTCCTGTCTATGGCGAATGATTTTGCTGGTGAAAAATTCGCCTCAAGAGAAGCTTGTGAAAATCGACTGTCCCAGTTTTTTGCCAATAGGAACAAGGGTTTCTATGAGAGAGGCATAATGGAATTACCTTCAAAATGGCAACAAGTTATCGAACAAAACATATTTGACCTAAATCGGATCATTCTAACTATGCTAAATAAAGCCTTCAATTTTATGCAAAAATAATGGATTTCTTTTTACTATACCTTATATAAAATACAAATTGTATAACTAACGTAATAGCTTTTATGTAATATACAAAAAGTGCCACGACACAATCATCTCGCCCTGTGGTAAAATTCTTCTTCTCAATTGTATTGAGACATGTTGAAACATGACCTCTATATTGAGTATGAAATGGCCCAACGCAAAATGATTAAGATGAATATATTATTGAATGACACAATACTGAATTAAATATAAGAATGCAATGCATGATGCATAATGCAATTGGTAGAGAGATGCGCACGGTTTTGATTAATGTCCAATAACATTAACCTAAAAAGGTTCCATTAATATTCTATAGGATATTTCGTATATACGAACAAACCTATCTTTTTTATAAAAAGATGAAGTAAATCGCCAAGTTCACATGCTTACCTGTACAAGTGGAATTATACTAAAATTAATGTTTCTATAAAAAATATTTTATTTGTAAAATGACACATTTAAAAATGTTAATAAGAAATATTGTTGTTTAAACTTCTATTTTTTACAAAAAACATGATATCAGGTAGTTAAGCCAAATGAAAATAATTCACGTGTTTCCCTACATGGATAGAATTATATAAAAGCAAATATGTTTATATATAAAATATTTCACATACATACTTTCAGAAAACATAAATCCAAAGACATTAAAACATAATATTATTGGGTATACAACTTAGTTCGGTCCGTTTTCAAAAGATGGTTCTAGGTGCTATAAATGGTTGACGGCGACAGCTGATTTTTGCTGTATCGTGAAGTGTCAACATCTGTCAACCAAATATTGTTTACAAGCCTTTGAGTTTTGCACAACAAGTTTAATTTTTACTGCGTTGAAAATGTCGAGTTTCGTTCCAAATAAGCACCATTTGCGGGAAGTTTTGATTTTCTGTTTCAATTGGAAGAAAAGTGCAGCTGAAGCGCATCGAATGCTTGTGGAAGTTTATGGTGAATCTGCACCGTCGGATAAATCTTGCAGAGAATGGTTTCGACGATTTCAAAGTGGTGATTTTAGTGTTGAAGACAAAGAGCGTTCGGGTCAACCGAAAAAGTTTGAAGATGAAGAATTAGAAACATTACTCGATCAAGATTCGTGTCAAACGCAAAAAGAGCTCGCAAGAACATTGGAAGTTACTCAACAAGCTATTTCGAAACGACTCAAAGCCGCGGGATACATCCAAAAGCAAGGAAATTGGGTCCCATACGAATTGAAATCGAGAGATATCGAACGACGATTTTGTATGTCCGAAATGTTGCTTGAACGGTACAAAAAGAAGTCTTTTCTGCATCGAATCATTACCGGGGACGAAAAATGGATTCACTACGACAACCCGAAACGCAAAAAATCGTATGTAAAGCCCGGCCAACCGGGAACATCAACGCCGAAGCCGAATATCCATGATGCCAAGGTAATGCTCTATATTTGGTGGGATCAGAAGGGTATGATCCACTATGAGCTGCTAAAACCTGGTCAAACCATCACGGGAGACTTCTACAGGCGACAATTGATCCGTTTAAAGCGAGCTATAGCCGAAAAACGTCCAGAATATGCGACCAGACACGAGTCCATAATCTTTCACCATGACAACGCTCGGCCTCATGTTGCTGTTCCGGTTAAAAACTATTTGGAAAATAGCGGATGGGAAGTTCTGGCTCACCCGCCTTATAGCCCAGACCTTGCCCCTTCCGACTACCATTTGTTTCGATCGATGCAGAACGCTTTGACTGGAATACACTTCACTTCAGAACAGGGTATCAAAAATTGGCTCGATTCATTCTTGGCTTCAAAAGATGAACGCTTCTTCCGCGACGGAATGCATAAATTGCCAGAAAGATGGGAAAAAGTAGTGGCTAGCGATGGACAATACTTTCAATAATGTATTAATTCATTTTATCATTCAAATAAATGCGTTTTTCAAGCAAAAAAACGGACCGAATTAAGTTGTACACCCAATATTTAAATTTTTATTTTCTACAAAAGGGATGCTAAAAGATAATTAAATCAAACGAAAATATCATGGCGTATATAACAGCTTTGTGTATATTCACACCACATGTGGTAACTATTGACTTCTTTTTATTGGTAACTATGTAAAAATTAAGATAAAATAAAATCAAGAATCACACAAAAAACATTTGACGTGCCCGGGTATATAAATAATTTTAATATATTTTCTAAATAGTATTTTGTATATCAATTTGTAAAATTTAAAGCAACTTATTGCGACACGGGCACGCCAAGTATTTTTGTAAGACTCTTAATTTTATTTTATCTTAATTTTTACATGGTTATCAAAAAAAGAAGTCAATAATTATATACGCAATGATATTTTCGTTTGATCTAATTATCTTTTAACATCTCTTTTGTAGAAAATAGAAATTTAAATAATATTATGTTTTAATGTGTCTTTGGATTTATGTTTTTTGAAAGTATATATGTAAAATATTTCATATATGAACATATTTGCTTCTATATAATTCTATCCATGTAGGGAAACACGTGAATTATTCACTTGGCCTAACTACCTAATATCACATTTTTTTTATAAAAAATAGAAGTTTAAACAACAATATTTTTTATTAACATTTTTAAATGTGTTACTTTACAAATAAAATATCTTTTATAAAAACATTAATTTTTATATAATTCCACTCGTACAGGCAAACACGTGAATTTGGCGTCATTTTCACCTTTTTTTGAAAAAAGATAAGTTTGTTCGGATATCACATCTTTTTCATAAATTATTGAATATTTATTAAACATACACAAATTTGACATAAGTTTCATAAATAATTATAATTTTAGGAAACACGTATCAATTTAACAGGAGATACTATTGTATTTCTTCTATAAACGTTTGGCTACTACTGTATTTCTTCTATAAATGTTTATACGTACGATGTGAGCGCTCAGATACTTCAAAACGTTGAGTGAGGGCGATAATATTATCCTCTTCTCTCTTTCACTCGCTGTTTTGACGTTCGCGTCAGCAAGTGAGAGCGAGAAGAAGAGGATGACATTCTCCCTCTCACTTGCGCAACTCTTGCTTTTTTTGTACGAGACACTACCGCCTCTCTTAATACCAACACGTGTACACTACCTAATTACGTGGTCCATGCCTCGCTGACTGCGCCGCTGAGTGGCGCCTCTGACGGAGAAAGGCTGAGATGGACATTAATAGATCGCTTCAAAATCGTAAAATTTTGCCATTTCGGACTTTCTACTAAAATATCTCCTCTCATGAACGATGTAGAACAAACATAAAAATAGATTTATTAAGTAAATCGACCTCAAGGAATCGATAGAGCCTATCCAGAAATTCATCCGATTAGTCGTTATAGCCGAACGAGAAATCTTGCCTACGCTGAAGTTAGTCGGTGTAAGTTATACGCGGCTGGTCTCACACCGTTCCTCGCTTCGCGCGTTCACTTGGTGCGAGACGCTACCCCGTCTCTTGATATATGTATACCAAAATATTCGCTGAATATTTCTTATTGCATATACAAATAGTGTTCATAGAATATTCTAAATATTTCATAATTATTTGAACATTCTTATTCTTAATTATTTGAATATTTTTTTACTATTTCGATATATACGGAATTTTTGGAATGCGAATGAAATATTTTAGGATATCTAGCGTACCTAATTGGGATGTATGGCCGGGCAACTGAACATTTGATTCATATAATGAATTGAAACAAACAAGTTGCAATACAAATGTCTATTTTAGTAATATGATTTTAACAACATAATAACGGAAAAAATTTCTGTGAGATAGAGCTTATTATATTGTCACAACATTCGTTACTTAAAATTAGTGCTCCACTTATTTTTACTAATTACCATATTCAATCGAAGAAAATAAAAGTGATTGGGAGCGAATGAAATTTGGTAGTTATAATTTAGTTTTAGAAATTAAATATCACTAATTAAAATAATTTAATAAAATTATGTATTTAATAAAATTTTTAGTAATAAAACTATCAAGGAATTTTATATTGGTTAAATCGTTGACGCCAACCAGATTAACAACGCCATGAAAGCGTTTGCCGACAAATATCCTGATATTATCACGCCTACGACAGTTTGATGTATGTATGTAATAGTTCTCACAAGGGGAACCTGGCAGTCTCTGATCACCGATTTGATTAAAATTGTATGGGTGTGTAGTACGCACTCATACATTTACTCCTGTAAAGCCGTAGAACCCACTATTGAGGCATTCTCGAGAAATATTTTTTTAAATATTTCGAGAAAAATTTTTGTCCCTATAGTACCGTTACGGAAAAGCAATTTTCGAGCTAGCAGCGTAGCGTCAACGGTAAGACGTAGACTACTACGCTCGGGGTTTGCAGGTCGATTCCCTGATGATTTTTTTTTATTTAAATGATTTTTTTTTTATTTAAATCTTATAAGTAGGTGTAATAGGGGGGTTCTAAACCCG